TTAAGCCCAAACTCGAATCCGCAGTTACAAAATAGTATTTAGCAAAACAATCGTGAAGAAGCAAGGAAGCTGGAGCTGAACGCCAGAGGCGTATAAAGCAAAGCTACCACCTCTCTCTCTCCTCACCCCCCTCCCCCCCGCTGCAGTAAGATTTGTTGTGCTCGGGAAGTTACAAGACTCATACAACCTCGTGGATCGTCGTCTTGGTGCGGAGAAAGGCTGCATTGCGTCTCTGTCTTCGGAATGGACTCCTTCAAATACTAGGATAATCAGCACAGGGCACGTTAAGCAGGCTGCTTCAGCAGGATATTACATATAGACCCACACTATCGAGCCAAATATCAGCCCAATGCACCCCCAGCTCTCAAGGAAGCTTCACATCAGTTCCTAGCCAACTCGTAGCTGGGATTTTCTTAGGTTAGGTCACTGCTCTTAGGCATCAGTTCATTTGAACACAGCAGGTGAATTCGGGGGGGGGATCCTGCTTTTCATAGGGAGTTTTGGTCAATGGGAGCAAGATCGGGCCCTAAATTGGGGGAGGGGGGACCCTATTTTTTTCTTGCTGTGCCACTGAAGCAGCGCAAGCGGACTTCACCCACTCCTTAGCATTTAACTTGGTCTGTATTTGAGATGCGTGGTTCCAGACGAGCCTGGCAAAGGTGTTTGAACGTTGTCCCCACTCACAGGGCATCACCCTGTTGATGGCTTTAAATCACAGATCAACAATCGAGTATTTCCCCCTCCTTCCGAAGTGTACGAGCACTTGCTAAACACGTCCTGCCCACGGAAGTGAGCAGAAGGGCCCAGTGGTTCGTACGAGGTGAACAAAATGCAGCACGAAAGATTCTTTACCGCTGGGATTCCGATGTAGCCTGGAAAGGCCTCTCATTTTTGACAAAGTTGACACTTAGGTCTTTTCCTCCCCAGCACTGTGCTTTAAATTACCATCAAAAGGCCACACACACAACTCCACAACAAACAAACAAAACGCCCGGATGCTGCGCAGAAACCTGGGCAATGGACATTGTTAACTCAAGCTTTAAAGCAGAGAGTTCAGAAAGTACATAATGGGCCCTTCATTTCCTTTGTAGGCAGAGCCAGATCCTGCTGCCATTAAAGTCAATGGGGGGGCGGTGCTGGCTTCAATGGCTGGAGGATCGGGCCCATCATTTGTATTGCTTATTGACATTTTATTGGGGGAGGGGAACCTGCGGTTCCTACTCACAGGAGTAATCGCTACTATTGGCACGAATAAATGGTTGAGGAACAAGCCCTTTACCTTTGACCGTGGGAACCTGTTTGAGTGGCTTTGCTCAGATACTTGCAAACACTGGAAAGGGTAGCCTGTAGGTGTAAGAGGATTCCATCAAAGCCAGTACACGAGGCTCTGCCGGTCGCATTGTTCAGCTAATTAAAATACACTTGGAAAGGAAGAGAGCAAACGTATGCCTCAGCCGAGTCCTGGCCCCATTTACATTGCAAAAGCCTACACCGTTATTTTGTTATTGCAAATATAGATTCTAGGACTTTCACAAGAACAATTTTTAATTCGCCGTTGACAAGCAGGGGGAGTTTGTTTAGTGCTGAATAGGAAGGGAACGCAATCCTTTTGAAAGAAAGCTAAGTAGTTTCACGCCACCAAAGTGGCAGAATTGGTAAGGAATGTCTGGTGGGACAAAGCCCCCGGTGCACGTAGCGCCCCAGTTCCCAGAGGCTGCAAGATCGCTTTAGTAAACTCCAAATCTGGAATTAAAACAAACAGCTAAACCGAAATCCAGGAGCTTCCTCTTCCCTCCCCTCCCAGCCCCCTGTAAGCAAAGAGAGACACAACTTAAAAAAAAAACGGCGCCAGGCTTAGCTAAAATGCATGCACAACCATCAGCCTGGAGTTGACTTTCCAAACGGGGGAAGCTTGTTTAGAGCCTGGGATTGTGTTTAGCAACCTAGGAAACCCTAAGAAGCCGGTACTTCTCTTCCCCCATCCCCACTTGTCCCCACTGTTTTGTAAATATTAACAAGGTTGTGTGAGCTATTCTCTCGCAGTGTGGACTTTTCTCTTTTTTTATTCTAGGGAAAGTTCTTCGCTTCCCCCACCCTTTCTCTGCAAGCAACACACCTGCCTGCAAACAGAAGGTTTCAAAATCAATATTGTATTTGTCACTTTTCTGTCTCCTTTTTCTCTCTCAACAGCCCTGCTTGCCACTGAAGCGAATTGTGGATTTATGGAGGAAAATTAGCATAAATTATTACCAAATCGGGAAACGTGTGTGGTCCTGCTTGTGGGAAAGGAGGCTATTGCGAACCTTCCATGCAGAAAGGTGGTCCAGGGTGGGCTTCATGGAAACAGTGAATGGCTATTGCACGAAATAGATTTCCATTGGGTTTGCACATTGATATAATTGACTTATGTGTATTTTATACAGTTTTCCCAACACTTCCCCTCCGCTCCTTATTTGAATTAGGCTTCAAAAAAGCGTCTGTTTGTTTTGGTTTTCCGCACAATGGGCATTGATTCACTTTGCAAGCAGCCCCTCTCGCCCTCCTCCCCCTTCCCCAATGTTGGTTTTAAACGAGAAACGCACACCCTGTAAATTACACTTAAATCCTTCATTTTGGGGCGGGGGGGCGCGGGCGTCTCTTCCAAGACTAGCATTTGTTTGACACTGAACATGGGACAAAACTTCTGTATTAATTAAGGAGATCACTCGCCTACCCCTTACCTCTTCTCCTGTGAGATCCCTTTACCCTTAAAAAAATCGGGCCACTCAAAAACACACATCGTTTGTACTCGGAGCAACACGTGATAGCAGAAATCGATTTTTCTGGATCTTTATAGGTTTATGGGGAAAAAGGGATCGGGCAAAAATATTTGTCCCCCTTTGGATTCGTGTTTTTAATTAGTCCGATGTTTCCTCGGAGTAATGATTTTGACAGTGTCCCTCTGGGACAAAACCAAACCGTGGATTGTAATAAGAAGAATAAAAAAATGGTTTTGGAAACTAGGGGGAAGGGGAAGACAGGAATTCTCCTTGGTTGTCCCAAGGGGCTAGAGGAGGAGTTTTGGCTCATTTCACAGGGCAGTTTCTCCGAAACTCTAGCGAACATTTATCATTACATCTCCTCCCACTCCAAAAAAAGTTTGGAGCTTGGGAGTCTCCTCCCCCCCCCCCCCCGCAATTTAAAGGAGCCATTGAAGAGCTCATAGTTTGTTAATGAAACAAGACGGGTTAAGTGTTGAGAACACTAAGAATATTGACTCTGAACAGCCCGTCCCCGAGTTCTGCACAAAGAGTCTTCTGTAGGGAGGATAGGACAGCTAGCTTTGTTTTAAAGTAAGGAAATATTACACTCCTTGGACCCCTAGAAATACAACTAGTTTTACATTATTCTCTCGTCGGCTTCCAGAGAAGGGAACTCGTCCAGCCCGACTTGAACTGGGGGAAGCACAAACTTAAACGCTTTGCGTCCAGTTGTAGCATGAAATGAGCGTTCAACAACTCTTGCAAGTATTCAGGGAGGCTTGCTCGGCGGTAACTTTCCACCGGTCTCAGGATTAGTCATTCCCATGTAGTAAAGAGCATCTCTCAGCAGATCGCAGCGTGCAGACAGACGGACAGCAGGCGCTCCCCCTCCCCCCTCACTTATTTTTGCTGAATTAAGAAGGTGACATTTTTCTTTTCTTCAAGTACTTCTGTTAATATTGAAAAACGTGTGCTTGCATCTCAAGCGGGCGCGCTCAGACTCTGCAACCATTTCAATATTAATGACATTGTTTAATCTCCTAAATTCCTCGTGTTTAAGTTACGTTTTGGTGAGTTATTGACCAGCTCCGAAATATGTGTGTGTGATGTGTGTGTTTTACACCACAAAGGATCTTTCTCACATAGCCCATGGCTTGCACCTACTGTGTCCATCTTTTATCATTGCTCAGAGGTGACATACATTATATACAACTTCCTTAACATATGACAGGCGCCTAGACATTCTTTTGGGCCTGATCTTGCAGCATTAATGTCCTGAGTTCACCCGTGGACTTCAATGCAACTGCATATCTGAGTACAGTTTCCAGGATCGGGCCCTTAATAGACGGGACCATGCAACATACTGTAACGTAATTATTAAGATTTGGATAACACATTGTTGTGTGTGTGTGAATATATACATCCACATACAACTTGTGTGTATAAACATAGACACGCACAATGCACACAGACATCAGCACATTATTTATCTCTAAATGCACGTTTCCATTACAGAACGCTTCGAGTTGTGCTAGCTTGGAGATTAAACCATATTTAACATGTTAACAAGGTAGAGGGGATAAATAATCCAATTCTTAAACAGTCCTGCATACATTGGTGTGAAGGATGTTTGCCTGGTTAGGACAGGAACTATGATTAAACATTGTTTTTACAGTCACAGCTGTTACTGGTATCGCCTGGGATCCAGTAAAATTGCCACAGGTCTGAAATCAAACTGAGAGGCAATTTACATAAATCAGACTCTCCGATATCTAAAATAACCCATGGTGTTTTCTTTTCAATATGACCACAACTTTGTTAAGACCAAAACATTGGTGGTAACAAAACAAACACTCCTTTTTAAATTTCAGGGGAAGTAGCTCACAGAATAATGAAAACTTCGACATGTTTGTTGAGTCGGACCCCAACACTGCATTTTCACCAGCCTTTAAGAAACCAGGCTTGGGCTCCGTTTGACTTGGCAAAGAGAAAGTCTCTCGTTAAAGGAAAAAGCCTTGCCTTGAGTTAGCCAACAATACAAATCAGATAACAATGCAGAACAAACAGAATACCCCAGCCAAGCAATTTCCATGTCAAACATCCCACTGCTCAGCAGCTCCATTTGTAAGTGTGAATTGCAGACTAAGCTCCCTGGCAAAGTCCACAGAAAGGTTAGTGCATACCTTCGCACGCACACTGTTACCGGGTGCCATCACACTTCAATTCCGGTGGCTGAGCCTTTTCACCCCTCGCCTTGTCTTCAAATGGAAATGATTCCTATTGGCCCAAGGTGTCCATGTAAATAGGTGTAAATGAAACCAGATTATGCCTTTCTTTCAGCCCACCCTCCTCCCTCTCTCCCTCCTCCCAAGGCGATTGTCATATGATAGCAAAGAAGTGGCACATTAATGAAGCGCCTCTACAGGGGTCTTTTCTGCTCATGTCACCACATAAAACTATCAGATGGTTAGAGGAAGGACATGGAGGCAAGTACTTAGCTCATCTCGGCTGCAGAGAAGCCAGCGAGCCCCTGCTCCGTTTCAGTTGCCGCTGGGGGTGAAATAACCCGATCCCTGATTCCGCCTTCCGAGGAGAAGGGAGGGGAGCGAGAGGATTCCCACAGACCAGCCAGCTCCCTGCCGCCTCGGACTAAAACTAAGCGGAGCGGCCGGAAAGGGAGAGTGAGAACCAGGAGGAATCGGGCAAGGAGACCAGACTCGCAGCTGCATCCCGGATGCGGACTGTCAACTTCCAGCAACTTTAAGGTGGGCATTGCTGGCAGGGAGGGTCCCCTCCCAGCCCCTTCTCTGCCCTGCTCCAGGGGGGTCCCCTCCCAGCCCCTTCCCTGCCCTGCGCCGGGCGGTGGGGTCCCCAGCCTTTCTCTGCCCTGCTGCAAGGGGGTCCCCAGCCGGCAGAGAAACAGCTGAAGTAACTTGGCGGCTGAGCGCGGTGGCTAGCTCGGGAGAGGGGCGGATCGCTTTCCCTCCGGGGGCTGGAGGGGTTTGGGTGTTTTTACCCCTGAGAGATCAACTCCGATCTGTCTCTTATTAGTGCCTCACACGCCTGCCCTTCCCCTCCCTTCTCCCCCCGCACACACACACACACACAGGCCAGCTTTAAAGCGTAGCCCGCCTCCCCCCTGCCTTACCCCGCTCGCCCCTCCGCAGATCTCGGCGGGTCCCCAGCGAAGATGCCTCGCCCGGGCAGGAACACGTACAGCGACCAGAAGCCGCCCTACTCCTACATCTCGCTGACGGCCATGGCCATCCAGAGCTCGCCGGAGAAGATGCTGCCCCTGAGCGAGATCTACAAGTTCATCATGGACCGCTTCCCCTACTACCGGGAGAACACGCAGCGCTGGCAGAACTCCCTGCGCCACAACCTCTCCTTCAACGACTGCTTCATCAAGATCCCGCGCCGGCCCGACCAGCCGGGCAAGGGCAGCTTCTGGGCGCTGCACCCGAGCTGCGGGGACATGTTCGAGAACGGCAGCTTCCTGCGGCGCCGCAAGCGCTTCAAGGTGCTCAAGTCCGACCACCTGGCCCCCAGCAAGCCCGCGGACGCCGCCCAGTACCTGCAGCAGCAGGCCAAGCTGCGGCTCAGCGCCCTGGCGGCCGGCGGCACCCACCTGCCGCAGATGTCCGGCTACAGCCTGGGGGTCTCCCAGCCCTCCGGCTTCAAGCACCCCTTCGCCATCGAGAACATCATCGCCCGCGAGTACAAGATGCCGGGCGGGCTGGCCTTCTCCGCCATGCAGCCCATGCCGGCCGCCTACCCGCTCCCCAACCAGTTGACTACGGTGGGCAGCTCCATTGGCACCGGCTGGCCCCACATGTACAGCCCCGGCATGATAGACACGGCCACCCCCATCTCCATGGCCAGCAGCGATTACAGTGCCTACGGGGTGCCCCTCAAGCCCCTGTGCCACGGGGGCCAGACTTTGCCAGCCATCCCGGTGCCCATCAAACCCACCCCGGCGGCGGTGCCGGCCCTGCCGGCCCTGCCAGCGCCCATCCCCACCATCCTCTCGAACTCGCCCCCCTCGCTCAGCCCGACCTCGTCCCAGACAGCCACCAGCCAAAGCAGCCCCGCGACGCCCAGCGAGACCCTGACCAGCCCCGCCTCGGCCCTGCACTCGGTAGCCGTGCACTGACACGGCCAGCCCGGCCTGGACACTCCGCCCGCGGCTCGCTCCCAACTTTCCTCGGCGTTTTCTTGCTCCTCGAGAGGAGAGAAAACTCCCGGCGGGAACACTTGAGGTTTGCTATTCCTGTGAGCGGTCTTCGCTTTGCCTTTCTGGCGTACCCTTGTTTAATGGCTCGAGCCCCTGTCGGTTTGGGGGTTGTTCCTTAACTTAGTTTTAAACACTCGAAAAGTGTCTAGCCCCCTCCCCCCCGCCACCCCGTGTGTGTATAAAGTGCCATTTGCATCACTAAGTTTCCAAAGGTACTTAAGGCACCTTCCTCCCCCCGAAATGAGTGCTGGAGAGTTAGACAACCCTGTCACACTTTGCCCGTTTTCCTTCCTTTGTCTGGGAAGAGCAACGTTCTTCCACCCGACCTGTCTTTAAAACCATCAACAGTTTGAAGTGGTTGCAGATGGCTTCGTGAAAACAATTAATGTTTCCAGTTTCCAAGTGACAAATCAGCTGGATTTTGGAAACACTTAAGTTTCGTTTCAAATTTATTTTTTTACACAGAGTTTAAAGATTGCAGGATCTACACGAACCCCTCGTGAATTACTTTTTAAAATGAAACATGTACTATTATAGATCTATCTATCTCATCTCCATACATATCACAGCACTACAATAAAAGTATTAAACAGGTCCCCATAACTTGAGAGCCAGCCAGTTACCATCCTATGACTGAAAAGTTCCATTGGCTTCCGAATAGTTTGTTTTGGGGAAGTTACACAGTGGATACAGATTTGTATACAATAATGTGTATTAAGTACAAAAGGACAGGAAACCATGCAAATGGCAAGACATCCGTTCACACTGAAAACGTATATTGTTTACAAAACTCCTGCTCTAATGTAAATACTGAACTTCAATCTGTCCTGTGAATCAAATGAGGTCCTCTTTTGCAGTACCTGTTGTCATGTGGTTGTTTAATTTTCAGGTGGAAGGGGAGGGGGAGTTAATTTGTCTGTTAACCTTCTGATTACTTCGATTTTTTAAAAGCTATTTATTTATGATTTAAGAAAATAATTTAAAAAAAATCCACTACCAAGCAGACAACCTAAGGTAGCTTATGTAAAGCTGCTCAAGTCACTGGTGAAGTGTAGGGAAGTACCACAACAGGTTCAGACTATGGGAGGTATTCCTGTTTTCTGCTGGAACTTTTCAGACAAGCTGAGCGCGGACTGGGGAACACTGTAAATGTCTGTGAATAGGAATGATTATCAAATGTGTAACATGCACTTTTGTTTGCTATATTCCTTTCTAGTTTTAGGTAGTTTGCTGGAAACCGAACTGTTGTGAACTGCTTAAGTTAAGACAAAAACAAAACGTTGTAGTGTTCAGCGCAGCTGTAAAGAAATTCCTTTTTAACTCTTTCCCTTGTACAGAATGAGCATGACATTTAAATATTGATGTTCTTGTTACCAGCATGCGTGTTTTAAGACAAAAGTAAAAAAAAAGAAAAAAAGAAAAAGAAAGTGTCTATGTTAAATTATGAACCTAGTCGTCCAAATACTATTTTCTCATTAAAATATGTAAATTCAGATTTACTTTCTTATTCGTCTATTTGAAGAGTTTGTACCAGGAAAATAAGAATATTAATTTAGGGGGAAATACAATATTTCAATTTTTAGATTATCTACATACATTTTTCATAGGAGGAAGAGAATTATCTATAAATATAATTGTTTAATAAAATACAGTAGCTTTCTACGTAAGATGGTCATTCTCACATGACTACCAAATGGAAATCAAGCTACAGTTCATAGACTACATTAGTATATATAACATATGTAATATATATAACGTGTGTACACATACACATATGTGCACTTTTCATACCTATATATGTGTGTGCATTATATACCTATATATTTGTGTGTGTGTGTGTATGCACGCACACAATACACACGCATAAATACTTTTTCTTGGATAACTATAACAATAAACGAGCCTTTGAAATACTAGATTGCAACTCAGACTTAAAAACATCTTTAAAGGACTGAATGTCTTTTTAAGATTAGAAGCATTAGAATTTTGTAATGCAAGAGGCAGATCAAATATTGCCAAACCTTAATATAAAACACTGCATTCTATTTTATCTTTGAGTTAAACCTCTTAAAAGTATTTTAATTGTCAGCTATTGTTCTTTCTTAATCTATATTAACTAAACATTAAAAAAACACCTAGATTACAAACGGTAACATACAGTATTATTCTTTATGTTTTATAATCAACAGATAATTATTTTATACAAAGAAAATTAAGGTAAACTACATTGAAATCTGGATTTCAGAGTTTCCAGTGCTTTTCTTAATTTATTTTTAGGATTTTGCAAGGATTCTACAAAATTATTGAGAATCCATGATTCAAATTCATGAGATAATCTAATAAAACTAGTGTGTTAGCCTTTCAGATGCGAGACCGTTCAAATAATGTAGTTACATTGCAATGAGATACTTAAATACTTATTAAAAAGAAAACCGACATTGTATTCTAATGAACCTACAGGATGCAAGAATACATTGTAAATGGTTTTAAAGAGGTACATTTCTATGGGTCTATAGATGTAGACATATGAGAGATAGTGACAACCCTATCTCCCTTAAAGACATATAGTAAGGTACTTGACAAAAGTTTAAGGTTAACGTAGAGTATAATTAATCCACTTGCGACTTTTTTTTTTTTTTTTTTTTTTTTAAGTTAACGGATCCCACACACAGGAAAAAAAAAGGTGGAAAATACATGAATCATTGGGCTGATTAAAATGCATGAAGCTGCTAAAGCTTGTCAGATGGGGGACAACTGAACTCATTCATCAAGTCCAACCCACGATTATATCAACACGATCAGCTAAAGAAAGCATTCAAAACTTATCACCAGATCAATGGACACAAAACTCGACAAACTTTTCCTAAACAAGCGATGACCTACATTTTCCTACGAGTTCTTAAAAAAAAATCCAACAGTTAAAAAAAAATCATCAGAGATGAAATCTGAACTCAACTGAGAAGATGGGACTGCAGCTAGTTACAGTTGCAGAGTAATTTTAAACCATACAGAAGTTACACCTTTAAAAATGATTCTGTTTTCCATATAATCCCTACTAGAAAAGGAATCGCAAAAAAAACCCCTTTAAAATCATTTCTCTTTCTTGTCTAATCATGTTATTCAATGCAATTGTTACATCTGTAAACAATCACTACATTTTGCCACATGCACGGTTTTCTTGGCAATGTCCAGCACCGTCTTTCATATTAAGCTACCAGAAAGAGACCATAATGGGTGCTGATGATTTAAATTTTAATAGGAAACTCACAAGGCATTCTTTTTGCTCTTTCCTTGGTAAAGGTTTAGATGCTTATCTCAAAGGTATGCCAACAAATAAGCAATTCAGAGCGTCCTATGAATTTACTGCTTTGTCTTGTTAAATCGCTAATGGCTCAAGTCCAAAGTCAATAAACTCAGATCTGAAATAAAACAGCAAAAGACAACAATGGGGAAAAATGAAACACACACCACAGGTTCCCGAGCTGGAATCTTGTTTGGAGACCTTACTCAAGGGTGCTTTGCAATTATTTTTGGCCACTGATAAATTTTAAACTAAGTGTATTTTGATGTAAGTGACACAGAATTTCAGACAGCTTTTTTTTCTTTTTTTTTACTAGGAGAGTGTATTCCAACTCCAGAGTGTAAGGCAAGCCAGCAAAAACCCAGTCGTGCTTGGCCACTCGGATTTTTGCTTCATTTCAATGCAAAAGGTCTGGATACATTCTAGTCGGTATATTTTATTTTTGTCCGCTGTGAGAGCAGACTCCAACCCAATAGGATCGAGTCACCCTATTGAAAGGAGCCCGGATCCTTCTGACACTAAAGAATATTTATTTTCTTTCCACAGTTTTTAAGTATGGCCTCTGATCGTGTCTTGAGCAATCTTGCCAGGTAGCGTGAAAAGAAGCTCAAAGCGATCCCTGTAAGGGGATTTTACAAGCACCCCCCCACCCTCTTTTTTTTTAAGTGCTCCTTAGCACAGAACGGGAGCTTTAGATCTTTGTAAATTTCTGTGCAGAATTATCTTTAAATCTTAATATAATTGTCACTTGGTGGATTTAAAAAAAAACAGCAAAAAAGAATCCAGGCTGTGAAGCCTTGGAGGGGCTGTATTTGTTTCTTTTAAACTAACAACAAATTATCTAATTAATATGTTTCAATTATAGCATGAAAAAGAGAGGCTTTGGACCGCCTGCAGTGGGTTTACAATAGCCCCAGAGCCCACGATAGGAATTTACAATAACTTCACATCTGTTTCTTTATTTCCCACTTTTCGAGTCTAAAACTCCTCTCGAGATCACTTCACACCATGGCCCAAGTTATGAAATATGTCCCCCTGCTAAAAAAAAAGGGAGAAAGAAAAAGGACAAAACTTTGCAGATCGAGGCTTCATTTGCAAGCTAGCAAGTGAAAGCCCCATTGAAGAGCATTAAACAAATATATTAGAATTCTGTCACTTTATGCAATTGAGTAGATCAAATAAAGGGTCCCAGGCCACTTCATTCACTCTCATTCACTTGAATAGAAAATGCAAAGAATAGCAAACCTAGACTGGGCCACCGATGTAGATTTAGCCCTTTTTTTCTAAGAGACAAAAAGGCTGAATTTTCACAAACACATAGCTGACTCGGGGACTAGGAAACCAGCTCTGAAACCCCTTTGGAATTTAAATTCATTTTACCTTCCTCTCGCTCTCTCTCTTTTTTTGGGGGGGGGTCTGTTTGCACTACAGTGCAAGTTGCACTGGCACGCCGGTTTGGGAAAAAGGCTCAGGGTTTACAAGCAGGATTTATCATGCTGAGCTATCATACAGTTTTGGAAATATTACTTGTGTTTAAAAGAGGAAGGGATTGGTGGGAGGGGGGGGCGTGAATCAGCTTCTGGTCGAAAGCTGATTACATGCATCCTGAGAAATATAGCAGTTCCATGAGGACATATATTCCATGGGCAATAGTTCAATTCTATAGCTGCAAATCTCAGGACTGCTGCTTTACTTGGCTGAGGATAGTTCATCCCTCACTGCCTCTTCATTCATCAAGTTAAAACTCAGATTTGGAAACTGTTGCATGAAAGCCACCTCTTACACAAGAAAGCAAGCGAACAAATACTCAGGGGTCTGACTGTGATCTGACTTATTCTGGATTTACAAGAGGATAACTTATCACTGTCTTTACATTACTCTTGATTCACACCAGTGCAACTGGTTTTTAGGTTCACCCACATTATTCATATAGCTGTCCTAGTAGGAGTTTGTAAGGAAAATGTTTGCATTGTTTAGCGCACTAGAGAAGCCAGTCCTGAAGCATGCATTACAGTCCATAATTGTCATATACCTGCAACGCAGTCTGTGGAAAAGTATAGCAAAGCACTTTAGAATTTAACTGACTGCAGGTGCATTTTGTTTCAAAGATAGAATTAAAATTCAACTTGTATGACCAGAGGTTGGATGGTTTTGGTACTTTTTCTGGATTTATATTGGTTATCTGTGTGTTTGCAGTGTATGTCACAAGGGAATATTAAACTCAAATACAGGAAATCATTGATTTATTTTATACTTTCTGAACTGTATTCTCTTGTTTCTTATACAAACAGAGAGATGATACCATTAAAAGTCTGATAGAATATTGAATTAATCTCCAACCATTATGAGATACAGCTATGTACTTTGAGCTCTTTAAGTTCTAACTAGAAATTCTCTCACTAAAGGCCACATCTCCATAAACTCCATTGAGAGGGCCAAAAAAGGAGGTACTAATATTATTAAACAATTTTACACTAATATTTTGATTTTCTTAGTTGGTACATAATAAAAACTCAGCTAACAAAACAAAACTGCTGCCGTTGCAGTTTTCAGAGGAGTAAAACTCAGACCACAAGAGTCTAAAATCTGATTCTTGGGATTTTGCTTCTCGTTTTGCAGCACAGTTTTCTCTTAAATTTGTTTATTTTCTGCACTGTTTCCTTTGCTGGTAGCTTTACTAACCATAGAACATGAATGGAATTCTGGTCTGATCTGCAAAATATTGACACCCAAGACCAGATGTTATCTCTTTCTCTCACACCATCTCTATAACACATGCCATTGCCAGAGAATGCTCAAGTGTTTGAAAGGTTAATGCATGTCCTCATCTATAGGCACTGCTAAATAAAGGATCTTAATTTTGTGCCATTTAGAAGAGCCTCAGTATTTATTAAGTAGTAACTAGAGTATTTTGCATTAATTAGAGCAGCTCCTTAGAGAGACATTACAGCCAAGAGTAATTTTACATTGCAGGAGAACTGTAAGCATGTTAACTCCCCACAACTAAAATGATGACAGACAGCAACAACACTGGTCTTATTTGTAAATATTAACTTACATGCATTTTTTTTCTAATTATGCAATCAAAACCAACCAC